CTAACCCTAACCCTAACTCTAACCCTAACCTTTACCCTAACTCTAACCCTGTGGGTGGAAGGGCTTTTCCAGAGGTTCTAGCCCGGATTTGGCCAGGGAGGGATCTCTGAGGGCTCTTAGGGGCAGATTCCCCATGGATTTAACCCCTGGGATTCCCGTGCTGAGCTGGGAGCAGCAGCTGGGATGGAATTCCAYGCATTTCCAGAGAATGCATGGAAGATCTTTCCGCTTGGGGAAAGTTCCGTGCAGCTTTTTGTGAGGGGAGCTGTCTTCAGGCAGAAATTCCAGCTGATCCCACATCCRCTTCCATGGCAAAGTGTCCATTGGCAGTGGGAATGTCCCTTCCCAGGTGTCCACTGGGAGCATGAATGTCCCCTCTGAGGTTTCCATTGGCCATGGGAATGTCCCCTCCGAGGTGTTCACTCTCAGCAGGAATGTCCCCTCCCAGGTGTCACTTGGGAGCATGACTGTCCCCTCCAAGTTGTCCATTCGCCGTGGGAATGTCCCCTCCTAAGTGTCCATTAGCCATGGGAATGTCACCTCCAGGACATCCATTGTCACCTGGGCGTGCCACCCCCATGGCACCAGGTTAATTCCTTAGGGACGGCTTGTCCCGGGTTATCCTGGGGATCTGTGAGCTCTGGGGAGGGGGGCTGCCCCAAGGGACGGAGGAGGTGTCCTGCTGCAGCCCCTGGTGTTGTCCCTGTCCCCATCCCTGTCCCCATCCCCATCCATGTCCTCCAGCTGATGTCCCCATCCCGTCCCTGTCCCCCAGCTGATGTCCCCATCCCATCCCTGTCCCCCACCTGATGTCCCTGTCCTGTCCTTGTCCCCAGCTGATGTCCCTGTCCCATCCCTGTCCCCCAGCTGATGTCCCCGTCCCGTCCCTGTCCCCCAGCTGATGTCCCCATCCCCATCCCTGTCCCACAGTTGACGTACCTGCCCCCGCCGTGGGGCGAGTGCCGCTCTCCAGAGCTGGGCCTGGCCTTTTTCCCGGTGTACAGCGTCACAGCCTGCCGCATCGACTGTGAGACCCGGTACATCGTGGAGAACTGCAACTGCCGCATGGTGCACATGCCAGGTGGGGACATGGGGACACTGGGGGGACAGCTGGGGACACTGGAGACACCGGGGGGGGCAGCTGGAGACACCGGGGACACCAGGGGATATCAGGGACACCGGAGACACTGAGGGGACACCTGGTGGCACTGGGGATATCTGGGGAGAGCTGGGGGGACAGCTGGGAATGGGCTGGAGGGCCAGTCCACATGCCTGGTCAGGGACACCTGGGGGCACTGGGGACACCTGGGTCTGTGAGTCCCCATG